AGGACAGCAAAAATAAGAGTTTTTAAAGAAAAATGTCTTTTGAAACACAACAGGTAACATTTGGCTTTGGAAAACTGAAATTTTTAATTTTTTTTTTTTTTTTTTTTTTTTTTTTTTTTTTGAGTCACTTAGCCAGACTGAGACTCCTGCATGGAACCTTCCTATTACTGCCACCTTATAAAGAACTTATTTGTTTTACTTTTCCCAGCTCCACACAACAGCACCCCCTGCCCTTGGGGTCCCTCCTGTATTTCATCCCTGTAGCTGGTTGTTTTTCCCTAAGAGGAGAACCAAAGCCACCATATGCTTTCTCCTTTATGCATGTTTCTTGCATAGCTCATTCCTTCTCTACCTGCAACTTCCATCTCATTTTTGCCTCTCAGCTTTTTTTCAGCCTCAACTTCATTGTAGAACTGGACTGGTTTGGTTTGATGGCATCACGATTAATCCCTGGGAGCGCTGCCATTGCTGGGCAGCAGACCTTTTCACCCCCAGAGACGTGTGTATTCAAACACCACAAAACTCTTCATGCCAGATGCCACCAGCTATGTGGGAGGAGGACTTGGCATTTGATGTAGTTGTGGAGCTCTGTCTCCAGAATGGCTGTTCTTGGGAGTCAGAAGTAGTTTTCCCTCAATGCTAGTGGAGATACAAATACGAGGATTTCACCATTGCCTGATTTTTTGTGGATAGTTGGATAAGAGGATAAGTGATTCTCCATTTGTGCTGTGTTTTGGTTGAGGAAGCTGAACCAGCTCACCAGCTTACGAACCCACCTCCCATTGCCAGTGAGGGCGTTAAGGACCAGGGATTGTGGCTTCCTACACAAGCGTTTGCACTGGAATGATGCTGGTGGTCAGTTCTTCCTTACCAAGTAACATCTCCAGTATTCAGTGGTGGCTGTTAAACAACCATTTCCATGTTGGTTTGATAGCGTAGGGGCTCTATCTTGCCAAAATGCATGGCAGGGTTGCAGGCAGGTCTCAGCCTGGGTACGTCCCTGCCCACTGAGTCTTGTAGAGGTCATCTGGAAAGTAAATGCCTTGGGGTAGGTGTGGTGGTGTCTCTGCTGTGGGAAGGTGGATGCGACACCCAAAGGAGAGATGAGTTTCCTGAAATGCAGTAGGACCCATAGGTCTTAATTTTCCTAAATTCAATCCATACCAAGTAGAGGAGGCTGCTTTTGGGCTTTACTCTTTAAAAGTGAAAGCAGACCTTTGAAGAAAAATACAAAATGTCTTATTCCTGTCAAAAATAAAAGGCAGAAGGGAAATGACTTGCTCAAGCTCACCCAGTAAGGCAGGGCTGGAAAATAAGCCAGCTCTCCTGGACCTCTGGTGTTGGACAGGACCTGGGAGGCACATCGCCCTGATGGACTGGCTCTGGCCATCCTGTAGGGTGGCTGATGGACCTCGCTGCAATGTGTGTTCATCTGAGAGGAGTGCTGTCCTGTGCCCTAATCAACTGCTGCTGAGGAACAAAACATAGTGGAGATAAAATATTTGAAGTAAAAGGCATACACTATATATAACCCTACTCCTCCTTGTCCCTGTGCACTAACATATTTCATAAAATGATGATTTCTCTGCCAAAATTCCTCAAATTATTATGTCTAAGCATTGAAAATCAGAGAAAATAGTCTTGGAGAGGACCTCAAGAGGCCTGATCCATCCCTAGGGCAGGATCAGCTCCATCTGAACTGTTCGTGACACGTCCTTGTCCAGTTTCCAACAGCAGAGCCTCCACCCCTTCCCCAGGCAATCTCATCTAGTACTTCACACACCCCCAATTTATCCCCCTTTTTCCCTTGCTGCAGTTTTAGGCTCATTCCTTCCTCCCTATGCACAGTAGACCCAGAGCACCTCTATGCTATATTTATTCCCCAATTCCTGTTTCATGCTGATCAAGCTGTCATGTTCTCTGGAGTCATCTTTGATTTTACCTTGTTGCAAGCATCCTGTTCACTGGGTGGATTTATGGCTCATGAGAGGCATTGGGATGTTCATCCTGCAGCTCTAGTGCCTCTTTGCAGAGCGTGTAAAGCACAGGGGTGCAGCTTTCCCCAGGGTGATGTGCTCATGTGTCCTTTCCTGGTGGTGGTGGGAATCACTTTCTTCTTGGCTTCTTCATAGGGACCACCCATGTTGGGCTAATTTTAAGCTCCATGCTAGCGCTGGCTTTTGTAGCACATCTAATATTGCTCATTTACCCTGTTTTTTGCAGGATTTAGGAATGGAGTCGACCTCTCTGGATGACGTCCTGTATCGATACGCCAGCTTTCGAAATCTGGTGGATCCAATCACTCATGACTTGATCATCAGCCTTGCTAGATACATCCACTGCCCCAAACCGGTAGGTACCATAGTCACATCGCACCTCCAGAACTCTGCGGGCTTGAGAAACTGCTCTGCTGGGAGTATGGAACTTCTCCTGGAGTGCCAGGGAGAAAGCCTCTCAGTTATTTCTGTGCTTGTGTGTCTTTGGACCAAGAGGACCTGCTCAGAGATTGTGGTTTGGTTGCACTGTGTCAATGACATTCACCTAATGTTAGCATTTTGGGTATTAGCACTTTGTTTTGCGAATGATTTCTGCTTTTTGCCACTTTGTGATTCTGTGTTAAAGACCTTACCCCATTAGGAACACTTTCTGCCTTGCGAGGATAAGAGGCAGTTCCTTGCCCTTGGGCGATATTTATCATGACTCCAAATGACAAGAGAGTCCTTGGCATTTAAGGCCAGGTTCCCAAAAAAGCACAAACAAGAGCAGGTTTCTCTGTGGGTGCAGCCCCAGGCCGATGTGGGCTTCTAAGACGCTCGGCCCCATTTGCTCACTGGCAGCTATAGCAGCATAAGGGCTTTTGAAAATCCCAGACTGGCTCCATCCCTTCTCTTCCATGGTAAATGTGACTTTGTGTGGCGGCTACTTGCTGTTTGGATAATTAAGATTTCTTTCCCCAGGCTTTCTTTTAAATAAGCAATATTGTCTGTGTCTGATTTGCAGAGCAGTGTAGGCTTAGAAAGGTATGAAATGTCTGATCTCTGAAAACATGCTGGATGATGAGGAAAAGAGATAGGACCAAAAGCTACCAGAGATTGATCACAGAAGGTGTAGGTGGCATCAGACCTCTGGGGATTTTTAATCTTAGTCATCCTGTGCTGCAGTTCCCTACCTGTAATTTTTGGGAGGATGGCACAGCTCCACTAAATTGGTGTGATGTGTCCTGGCACTACAGTCATGGTGACATGCCGTGCACCAAAGATGAATTGGTTGCAAACATCTAAGATAACCATTTCCTCTGAAAGGTGTGTTTCTTCTGCAATTTGCCAGGCAGACCGTAGGGCGAGCGGGAGCTGTAGTTGGTGATGGTCTCTCGGCTCTTCTTGAAACTGCCATTAATGGGCTTCCTCCTAAAGAGACATTTCTCTCCATGTTTCGTCTTCTTGTCTGGTACAGGTCAAATTGTGGTGGAGAGCTGAAGGCTCATCTGTCATGACTGGGTTTTTCTTCTCCCCTGCACATTGCTTGTCAGGAACTAAAGTTACATTTAAAACAAATTACGCGAACTGTAGGAAAAGACTGAATGACTTTTTTGTGGTAAGCCCAAAGGAGGGTTTGCAGAGCAATGAAGACATTCCTGGTGGGATGTCTTCATTGTAACAGCTTCCTTGGGAGTGTGGGAGCTACGTGGCTTCCCTGAACTTGCTGTCTGGAACCAATAAGCTACCAAAAAGTTCACTTTGAGCAAAAAAGGAAGTCCTTCCACCCCCTTAACCTGTGTTTGGCTCTGATCATGCTTGCAGATGTGATGGAGCTCTGTTTGAGGGCCACCAGGAACCACTTCTAAGGCCACATTGTTCCCAGAACTCTCCTCTCTTGTCCTCCAAACTCTTCCCATGCCTTTTTGTCTTTGGGAAAGAGCTGCCTGGAGCAGCTCCACGGCATCAATCATCCAGGTTCATTACTGCATGTAAGACTTCATACGCTGACGTAACCTGGAGTGGGGAGGAGAGGTGCAAATGCCCCAGGCAGGGTGTGTGTCTGAGGTCTGTGGGTCCATCCCCTGTGACATGGAGGGGTGCAGCCCTTCCTGCAGTCCTCCTGGAGGTCAGCACTACCAATGTCCCAGCCAGATCTTGGGGGACATCTGAGCCAGACCCAGCCCCCATTGGGGATCACACCGTGAACCCTGGATATTTTTTGGGTGTTCCTGGAGGGAATGTTTGTATTCCTCAGCAGCTTTCCGTGAACTCATCAGGCCACTGAACTTCTGCCAAAAGCACACTTGTTGCACTCTGTATCGTTGGATTTTGATGGGGAAAGGGGGTGGTTTGTTTGTTTTTTCCCTCCTGGAGACAGCGAACTCGGAGCTAGCTCATCTGTTCTCATCTCTGCTGCTGAACTGTAAGGCATTTACCCATCTCGTGCCTCTTTTTGATTTGCACATGGCATTTTTAAGCTCTTCTTGGGAAGGGACTGTCTGTAGGTGTGGTGTGCACAGTGCAATCAGGCTGGGTCCGAGCTGGGACCTGCAGGCATCGCTGTACTTACTGCTAAAAATGGGTCTTTAATTTCCTGTAAGAGTGTATGAAGGGATAGAGTCATTCAGCTGTTTGTCATGGATGTTTTACTTAACAATAACCTCCACCACTATTTAAAAATGAGTGCAATTGCTTTTTTGAAATATTTAAAGATTCCTGTAATTTTGCTGAGGAAAAGCTGTGGTGATGCTTGGGGTGTGTCTGCCTGGACTATGGTGTGAAACTGGCTCTGGAAGTGCTTCATAAAACTCTCTACACTCAATAAACCATGTTGGGAAGGGTGGAGCAAGTGCAGCAGTGTGCAGACATGGCTTGGGAACGTCAGGGACCCAAATCTCCATCTCCAGACGGAGGATGGATGTCCCATGTCCTGTGGTGCAAGCTCAAGATGCAGACACGTCCCTGTGCTATGCAGCAAACCCGTGCAAGGACACTAATATATCCTTTCCCTTTTCTTATGGAGAAAAAGATCTTTTCCTCTCTCCTCCCCCATGGGGCAATGAGATGGGAAACTGAAGAAACCTATTTTGACGGGCCTGTTTCCAGGCAGAGAGGCCCCGTTCCCCCGCTGAGGTTACCCTATTCCAAAGCGTCGTGACTAAGCTGGTTTCTCCTCCACGTTTTGCCCTGGGAGACGAAGGAGCCGCGGCCAAGTGTGCGCTCTGCGCTCCTCGTAAAAATAACCCGAGGCCGCTGATGCAACAGCAAACTGCTCCGCTGCCGAATACCTGCTTTTACATGTCTCCCTGCATGTTTCTTTTGGCATTAAACGCTGTGAAGAAGTTAGTGCCAGTGTAAGCATAGAAAGGCAAACTCCTCATACTGGACCATGGGCTTCAGGCTTAGGGAGCTGGGGTTGTTCAGCCTGGAGAAGAGGAGGCTCCAGGGAGACCTAATAGCGGCCTTCCAGTACCTGAAGGGAGCCTACAGGAAGGCTGGGGAGAACCTGTTTAGAAAGGCCTGCAGTGACAGGACGAGGGGCAATGGCTTCAAGCTGGAGGGGAACAGATTTAGACTGGAGATTAGGAGAGGGTTCTTCACTGTGAGGGTGGTGGAGCACTGGAACAGGTTGCCCAGGGAGCTGGTTGAGGCCCCATCCCTGGAGATATTCAAGGAGAGGCTCGACGAGGCCCTGGGCAACCTGGTCTAGTTGGGGGTGTCCCTGCTGACTGCAGAGAGGTCGGACTAGATGGCCTTTGGAGGTCCCTTCTGGCCTGGGCAATTCTATGATTCTATGAATGGCAAACCTGAATAAATCCAGCCCATGCAGCACTGAGGCTCCTCTTCTGCATGAGATGCTGCTCATTGGATGCACTTGGTCCTCTCCCCCTCCTTTGCACAGCTCAGGGCTTGCACCACGCCGTGCAGTTGCTTTGGTGCTGGAGCAAGGGATGGCATCTCCGGGCCAGCGGTCCCCTATGAGGCTGCTGTGGCAAATGCTGGCAGGTGGCAAGTTGTCGCATGGGAGCGGTGACAGCTGTGTTGATACAGCAAAGAAAATATCACCATATTCTCCTGGGATTCTCAGGGGCTCACAGACAGTTGCCAAGCCCTGGAGCATCCCTGGGAGGTTGATATGGGCGTTGCTTTGCAGAGGAAAGCAGGGACCGTGCAGGTGACAAGTCCAACAACAGCAGGGCTGTGCTGCAGCACCTAGTCCATGACTTAGCCTTGCTTGGGCATTAGGTGCTACCAGCTGTGCTTTAAACCCTCTTTTTTGCAGCAGCCCAGGGTGTTGGGTGAAAAGTAATTTCATCCTGGTGTTTGGTTGTGATTTTCCAATACAGTGATTTTCTTTATGTCCCCAAACCCCAGCATGCCTTAGTCACCTGGGTTATTTTCCAGCATCCAGTCCTCCTTTCCCCCAGACCTCTTTCCCTCCCTGCAGTTTCTTTGACAGAGACTTGGCAGCAGCGTACGAGAGCAGGAGAAAGCTTGGGGCCAGGAGTGCTGCAGAAGTTTGGGCTTTTGCTCTGCCTGCCAAAACTATGCCGTTGCATCCTGTGGCACGAATATACGTGGATATGTAGGTTGAGGCAGCTGTGGACTTGTCCACATCCATAAGGTGGGACAGATGGGGCTGAAGAATGGGGCTGGCCTGGACTCCGGTCCCTATTAACCTGCTCTATTAAATATGTGTCTGCTTGGAGTTCTGGGGTCTTGCTTTCCTCCTCCTTCCTGGAGAGAGCATTTCCCTGCTTTCTGTACACTGCTCTTTCCACTCAGCCTCCATTTATGCCACCCTTAGCATGAAGGTGACCCCTTGGTCTCTCCTCTGAGCTAAAATAAAAGTTAAATCGTTTTTCTGAGCTCTGGGTAAACATGTCCTGGTCTGTGTGGCCAGAAAAAAGTTGGCCTGGGCTCTCCAACGTGGTTGTGGCTCAGCACAGTTCAGTGGATGCTTATTCCAGCGAGTAAATTCAAACCAGCAGCAAAGTGAGAAGCTTAACTTGTGCTGGAGGAGCCTGGAGAGCTTTGAATGAGCCTGAGCATGGAAATTGTTTGGGTGAGCTTTCGTATGGATATCAGGGTATGGCATGTAAAGGCTGGATGGTGTCTCTCTGGGCCCTCCTGAGATCCTCAGCCTTCCCCGTGGCACTTGCGTTCAGATAACTTTTGCTAAAGGAGCCAAGTGGAAACTCTTTTCCATATCACTTGAAAGTCAGGGTTTGGAGTCGGTCCCATCCCTGCTTACATGAGTCAATTGAAACTGGGTGTCTTCAGCACCCCTTCCTCAAGGGGCTGGGATGTCCCTGCACCCATGACCATGCGGTGCCTCCAGAAATGCTGATGGAGCCGAGCGAGAGATTGCTG